TAAAATATTTTAAACGAGAAAACAGTTATTTTAAATTGCGATAATATTTCACAACATTGCAGTTTTCACTATATTTTGGATGAAATAAATGCAGCCTTGGTGAGCTCAAGGGACGTTTAAAAAATCTTTCTAACCCCAAACTTCAGAACTGTAGTGTATATGTATTTTGTGTAGTTTAAACTTGTTTTTTTTGTGTGTGTGTTTTTAATTTGTACACAGGTATGATTACAGCTGTTGGACTGTCAAACCTACAGAGTGTGGATCTGAACTCCTCCAGAAATCTTTTCGTTCTGGGTTTCTCCATGTTTTTTGGCCTCATGTTGCCTAATTACCTGGAATCTCATCCAGGCAGCATTAAAACAGGTTGATATGCCAGATGGTGTTTTCTGATATATTTTGTTTTGCAGTAAGAATGCTGTGGCTGTTGTCACCTATTACTGTGAATACACATGTTTTGATTGATTTTAACAGGTGTAGCAGAGCTGGACCAAATCATCACAGTGCTCCTGACAACAGAGATGTTTGTAGGGGGATTCATAGCATTTGTACTTGATAACACAATCCCAGGTATGTGAAAGCGTTACGTATACAAATATACAAATGCATTGGATAAATACCATGGCACATGCCATTCTGCATTCATCATTTCTACATTTTGTGTGCAGGCACTAGAAAAGAGCGAGGTCTCATTGAATGGGCGGCTGAGAATTATTCAGGAGCAGGAATAGTAAAAACAGATACATATGACTTTCCCATTGGGATGGGGCTGGTCCGGAAGCTGGGCTGTCTGCGCTACCTGCCAATCTGTCCCACTTTCCGAGGCTTTAAGCCATCATGTCGCAAATATGAGGAGGAGGAGGAGGAGGACATAAAAATAAAGGAAGGTGTGATTGATGCTCCAGTTGAAATGGTCTGCACCAAAATTTAGCCATATTTTTTATTTGACTTGGTTTAATATATAATGTATGCTGTTTGGGTGAAGCTGAACCTTTTTCAAAACTGAGCACCAATTTTGCTGTCAAGATTTTTGATTTGTTTCTTCAATTTTGCATCTAAAACAGACAAGAAAAATGCACCATTAGAGAATGGGTGCATATATTTAAAGGAAAACTTGAATGAACAGTTTGAGAACAAAGGGTCTCTGTTCTTTTCACATCAAACCAAATGTAAGATTTGATTTGATTATAAAGCATTACGTGTTTTATTGAAATTACTTCAAAAGAAAATGAAGGTCAAGTTTTTTATTTATTTATTACCTCTTGATTGTGTACAAAATATGCAAGTGATTAACACTAAACAAAATGTGTTCAGAAATGTTTAGCTTCAGAAAATAGTGAAAAATTACATATTTAAAATACACAGAAATCATAATTGATATACATATTATTGTAACTAATAATGTTTATAAATACTAAAAGTGTACTATGTATTCCATAAGAGCCAAAGAACAAACGATCATGTGGACATTCAGTTTTGACAAAGATGTGCTTAAGTTATTTTGTATTAAAATCTAACTTTAATGTCTTTCTGTCTGTCTAAAATATTTTTTGTCTGTGCACATTACAAAAAGGTTCAAAAGGTTAGAAAAACATCATGTATTATGAACTAACAATTAACATTTTTTGCAGCATTTATTAACCTAGGTTCATTTTATTTAGAAATGAATTATTTATAATATTTATTAGAATTGTTCATTGTCAATTTATGTTACAAATTTTAATTTATACATCTTAAATATTACAGTGTTAAAATGTATGGGTATATGTAAAAAAAATAATATTAACCAAGATTAGTAAATGCTGTAAAAGTACTGTTCATTGTCAGATTATGATAACTAACATTATTAACTAATTTTAACCAACTGAACCTTATTGTAAAGGACATTTTTAACAACAAACAGTAATGCGGCAATAAACATGGGAACTAAAACATTATGTAGTGGCTCTGATTCCATACAGCCCAGACGTTCTGATTTACTGCAGTGTTTGGTCTAAAAAAATCTTCCAGAAGGTTCGGCCCTGTTTAATCTTCTCTATTGATTTTTAAGGAAATATCTATGTATTCTCATCCATCCTCTCACTGTGTTCACATCTGACACCAGAACATTCGGTCATGCGCCAATAGTATCAGTTAAATATAGTCAATAAGGCATCCTGAATCTCAGATAACGGCTCTGTGGATTAAAGCAAAGGTCTCTCATAAACAAGTGTCAGGTGTCAGTAGAAGAACAATTAACACATTTTTGGGGCAAATTGATTTTGAAACCAGTTCACATCAAAATTTTTGGTCACGCTTTATTTTAAAGTTCAATTCTCATTATTAACTAACAATTAACTCTGACTTTTGCCTCATTTTGCTGCTTATTAATAATACTAATAATCAGTAAGGTAAGGTTGTTGTTAAATTTAGGTATGGGTTAGCATTAAGGGATCTTATATATGGTCATGCAGAGTTAAGCATTAATATATGCTTTATAAACAGCCAATATGCTAGTAATGTGCTTGCTAGTTAATAGTGAGAATTGGTCCTTAAATAAAGTGTTACCAATTTTTAAAAGATACAAGATAAGACACTAAAATTCTGTTTAAGTTTACAAATGTAAAAAAATAAAGTGTTCTCATGAAGTGCTTAACTAAGCCATTGTTTACATGAAGCAGAGCCATGGTTTTGCTCAAACCGCCATTTAGTAAATATAAATACAATTTACAATAACAAAATCATGACCTTTGTCATTCCTTCTAAACAAGCTCAAGACACTCCAGTCCCTTGGTGAGTCTCAATTGCCCATACCAGAGGTGATCTGAGCCCCTCTCCCTTCAAAGCCCCTGCTCTGTTTATGTAGCCTGAATGTGTGAATGCATATGCATCTTACAACATTTCAACAGATATAATCAGTCTCACCCATGTCAGCTGCCAAGTCCAGAGGTAGCCTTTACGAAGCAAGGAGTGTTGAATGCAGTGCTAACTGAATACGCTTTCAGCTTTGATGCCTTGAGGCCAGGGCAGCAGATGGTCAACATGTTTCACTCATCCAGAAGCTTATAAACAGCTCCTTTCCAGCACTTAATAGGCACTGGGTAATCTGATCCTTGGGCATGACTTATTGTCTTTTACAGTCTATAGGTCCCATCAGGTTTCATTGTCCTGGTGGTGGGAGCACCTGAGGATGTGACTGTACGTAAGGTAAGCACTGTGGGGTGTACATGGGTGGGATGTGAAGAGAGGCAAAGGGTATGGCACAGGGTGTGGGCAAAACGGCACTGGGAAGCGTCTGCTGTGGCAGTAGGACCTCGACATACTGGCAAGTTTCTGGATCAAACAGCATCTTGTGCTGTGGCAGCTGAGGCACGTCCACATAGAAATAGCTGCCGGTTTCCGGGTCGAGCAACAGTTGGCGGGGAGTTTGTCCTGCTGCGACACTTCCTCCTGCTTCTGGATACAGCACACCTGTACCCCCAAGCCTGGCTTCTGCACTCATGGGAGCAACAAAGATTGTGTTGTGTTGGCTTTCTGGAGAAGATATTTTCATCCCTGCTTCCCCGTTCTGAGCTTGACTGGTTGAGCCATCTGTTGGCTGCACTAACGTTGTTCCATCCTCAGAGAGGGATCTCAGTAGGGGGGTATGACTGTTTGATGCAGAGGGCTGGTTGTAAAGAGGTGTTTGAAACATGACAGGCCCTTGAACATAGCCATGAACGGCTCCAATATGAGGAGAGATTGTCTGGTAACCCAGCGGATTGGGTTTGTAATAATATGAGGGAACCATGGGTGTTGAAGCAACCGTTAGGACGCAAGCAGACAGAGGCCCCACTGAACTCTGTGACCTGGGAGGAAGGCATGGGGTCTGGAGGCCATCACTGATTATCTTGCCATAGTCCTGTTGCTCAGAACTTGCTGTGGGTGGACAATATTGCAGAGCTACTGGGAAGAGTTTGTCAGAGCTGATGGTCATCTCATGCTCTGCCTTGTTCACGTCTCCTTTTGTAGGCTTGTCAGTGGAGGCCTCCTCTTTAGCTTGCAGTGCCAGGTCTGTCCTGTTTGTCAGGTTCAAGTTTGTATCGCTGACTACAACATCAGGTTTACTCATGCCAACTTGGCTATCCTGTGTCTCTGAGGGCTTTGACAAGGCACAGCTGTTTGCCGTGGTTATACTAATTGGGCTGACCTTTGTAAATCCAACAGTATGACTTTTGTCATTCGATTCTACAGGAGGCATTATCTTAGTCGAGCATCCTCTCGTTGCAGAATGATCCCTCCTTCTGTCCAGTGAAAGAGGTGGAGTGACTTTCTGTACCAGGGGTTTTTCTTCTGATCTGTATCCCTTTCCCTTACCTTTACCCTTGTTGTTGCTTAAATTGTGTACTGATGGCTGAAACAAAAGAGCACTCACATCTATTCCATGGGCTGATTCCCCTGCGCCTTTGAAGGACATGTTGTATGTGTTTTTCACTAGGCTTCTCATGTCTCTTACTACATGCACAGGGGCCATGGCTTTCAATTTGCCTTGGCTTTGCATACCTAGGATTGCAGACTCTCCTGGTGACTTGACTTCCTCTCTGTCACTCTCTTGCTCCTTTCTAACACTGCTCTCATCAGCTTGCGGGATTGTGTTATCCACTGCTTTTGCTTCCAAATCAGAGATTAGGCATGCAATATTAGTAGGACTGAGTGTACTTTCCATGGTACCAGCCTGTTGCTCCTGCTTTTCCAGCACATTGGTTAGGGTCATATTGTGTTGTTTATGGATTCCTTGCCCTGTATGACATTCTTCAGGTGTGGTTTTCACAGAGGTCTGTGTGCTGATGGCTACGTTTGTTACTGCACTCGAATTCCATGCTCTGCCCTTTGCTGAGTCACAGGATAGCTTCCCTCCAGGGTTCAGGTTAGGCAGCTGCAACACCTCCTCTCTTGGGCACAACTTCTCTGCTTTCTCATTCTCTGAAGGGTCGGTTATTTCAGTGCCACTGCCTTGAGCTTCAGACCTGCCAGTTGTGCTTAAAAGAGGATTGAAGCCATGTTTGCTCAGCAGCTTGGGTTGTGTTTTTGAGTTAACACTGCAGTGCTTTTGAACAGGGCTGCACTCTCTCTGGGCCTCCCTCTTAAGAGTTGCATTTTGATTTAGTTTGGTAGTTTCAGCGTATATCTCCTTGCCAGACAAATAAATGCATTCCTCAGTGCTAGTAGGCCTGTTGTTCACTTTGATAGAAGCAAAAGCTTTATCAGAAACATCCAAGGTGCGAAGATTCTGTTCATGTTGCATTTTTTTTGATAGGACATTTGTTATGATGCAGGAAGCCATCTGGGTTTTGCTGGATGTTTCATCCAAGGAAAATGACTTCTGAAGCCTTTGCTTTCGCTCAGCCTGTACTGACCTTTGATCGGCCACATGGGACCCCTGGTTAAAAGCTGCAGGGGTGCTATGTTGACGCTGAAATATGTCCCGGGCACGCACAGGTGTGTTTGCAACCTGAAGGGTTTGATTGCTGTTCTCTCTGGCATGCGCCTCTGCTGTGTCCCGTCTCTTCAGTTGGATTTGTCTTTTGGGCACAGTCTTTAAGCCCCGGTTTACTTCATCTGTGGTTTCCAATGCCACATCAACACACTCAAAGCTGCTGGATTCTGAGCAAGCAGATGTGTTTTGAGTGTTTGAACACATCTGCATTGTAAAAGAGAGAACATCATCTGTCCAATTGTTGTGGTTTTCCTCAGCAGAGGGCTGACTTGAGGGCCTACAGCTTGAACTGAAAACATGCATGTAGTCAGTTTCAGAACAGGAAGATCTTACCTGGGCCTGGTTAACAAGGGCCCCCACCTTACTACTGGCCTCAGAAAGCTTTGTTCCCATGCTGGTTGATCCTCTGGTATTGTCTGTAGTGTGACAGAGTTGCCAAGAGCTGCTACACAGCTTGCAGGAGAGTGGTCTGGATTGCCAGGCGCCTTGCCGGCTCTGCTTTTCCAACGTCCGAGTATCAGCGAGTCTCTGTAGCTGGTGTTGGTGCCTGGTTGCGGGGATACGCTCGGAATCCGTATGACCCAGAATATGCCCGCCTCTCTCAAGCCTGGGTGCACTCAAACGTTCCCTGGGTCTTTGCTTTTGTGTCGCGTGGTTCTCTTTTGGCTCTGTGCCACCATGCTCCTGTTCCCTACCCTTGCTGTATTGATTTCTCCCAGGCGTTATCAAAATAGTGTTTGAAGTGAATATGGGTTCTGGGGAGCTGTGCTCCTCAGCGGTTCTAATGTTAGTATGAAATACAGTCCTGCTGCCTCCAAAATAATCCCTCGGTTTAACCAATGAATCTTCTCCTGATAAATTAAGCTCGTCAGAATTATCCAGCTTTTGCACAGGGTTCCTAAAGGCTGCCTTTACAGACTGCAAATCCACATTTGTTGCTGTTGTACCTGACAGCAGATGGTTTGACTCAGATTCTAATGCTCTCTCAGTTGATGAAGGTTTATCCTGGTCACATTGGGACACATCAGGGAGCACTTCTGTACTCCTCTCTTCTTGTGTTTTGCAGTCCTGTGATAGTGTGGTTTCTGTGATCAAGGATCTTGAAGTGATGCTTTCCATAGTGGTAATGCAGTCCAAGAACTCAAATGTGCCACCTTCAGCAGGACGCTCTGTAGAGACAGTGTGTGTTGTGTCCCCTAAAGCTTCACTGTACTCACTCAGAGAACAAAGAGCAGTGTAGTATGAACTTGCCGAGTCATCCGTGATATCATCAGTCTGCTCTAGGTCACTTTCCCCTTCATCTCTTTGTTGGAGAGACAGACTGTTTTTTTCGTTGATAGATGCAGATGACTTAGACATTTCTCTTTAAATGCCACTTCAAAAATGTCCTTCTGTGGTGTCTGCAAATTTCTGATGCAATACTGGACGATTTACACACTAGTGTGGGGTGGATGTGCAGGTCAGACCTATATTGCAAGTGCTGAAATGTTTATGGTTTAAAAAAATGAGATGTTGCATCAAGATGAAACATGAGATCCAGCCTGACTGCTTCTAAGAAAAATAAAAAGAATAGAGTTGTATTTTTAGATGCTTAAAATTAGACAGAAGAAAAATCATATGTATACACATTGTTAATATAAATTATTTGTGTATTAAAAAATTATTTTTTAAATACTCAAATGGTAGCAGCGTCACTGATAAGAGTCTCATGCATTTGATTTGTGATGAATTCATTTCTTTCCATTGTATTGTATTTGACTTAACCGTGTTTGTCAAAGGAAATGCTGTGTATACTAAAGAGTCTCTCACCCAATGTTAAAACTTCTCTCACCTGATCCAAGCCACCCAAAATCTTCTCCTTTTTGTTGAAACTCCTCTGAGATGTTAAATCTGAATGAGAAATCAAGGAAAAAATGTCAAAGAATTGTGTCAACAGACAAGATATCTATAAAAAGAAATTAGGGCAAATGCCTTTTTAAAAAGTATACTAAGCTAGGGACTGCAGAGGAGATGAATCAGACCTTATTTTTTGGCTGCTGAGGTCTGGATCAGGATATGTGGTCCAGGCCCAGTAGTAGCTAAGGTAGTGGTGTGGCAGTCAGCTTTGACAGCAGGTGCTGGTCTGGCTGTGCTGGAGCGTTCCCTTTGGAATCTGACTAACATAGCCAGTGCAGTCACAGGGCCAGCTAAATATAGTTCCCCAGGCCCCATAACACTATCATCAGGGAGATAGGGCTGAAGTCTTCTGGGTACGCTGTGGTAAGTATTGGGCCTTCAAATGGCCACTGCAAATAGAATGGTCACGCTAGTTATGGAGGTATCATTTGATGGTGTAAAGTAGTCCTGTTTTAAAGTAGGCATTAAAACGATCACTATATCTAAACTAATTGTACATTGATCTGAACTTTGTTTGTGTGAAGTTAATTTTGATGTGAAATGTTCTATCAGATTTACCTTAAATATGAGTGGAAGCACTGTTGTTCGAAAGCACACAGTTGTTCGAGAGCAGATGTGCACTTCCTCTCAAGTGTTTGTTGTGTGTTGCCAGCCAACTCTGGGTTGGGACTTTCATTGAATTGGCCATGACCATGCAGGCCATGACAGCTATGGCATTTGACCCACTTGGTCTCGGCTGTGCCTGATGGTTTAATGACATGATATAGTGGGCAGCAAGGATATAAGACTGCTTAATTTCACACCAGCGGTGCTTCAAAAGTTTCTTATCCGCATAGTAACACATACATCAAACCTGAGGGGACCACCGACACTGTGGTGTTAAGTTGTGAGAAGTGTATAGCATTACAGAGAGTTAAGAGCATTAACCTATAACATAACTTCCATATTAGCATTTCACCCTGCAAATATGGTTAGAAACTTTTCAAACATGGAAATGAAAGACATAATAATACATAATAACAGTGAAGATTTCCACATATTCCATTTAAATGTACATTTATGCATTTAGCAGACACTTATCCAAAAAGGAACATATTTGTCTTGATTTATGATTGTTTAGTGTTTAAGTACATCTCTCACAAAAATGTACCACAGTAGGCTAAACCGAATTACTACAGTAAATATCAATCTTTGTGATACTTTATTTTATTAAATTTTTTTTTACTTATTTTGGATGATATTTTAAAATTGCATTAATAACCTGACAAGTCTGGCTCATTCCTAAGTAGAAAAGCTGCATGTAGCTTACCATACTGCTAAAACTGCCGTACATACTGCAAATAGTAGTGTAGTGCTAAACTGCCAGGTATAAAACGACCAGATATTTTGACTTCATCATAAGAAGCTAAAGATTCTTTGCACATTGATCAGGCATTGCTGTATTCAATATAGATACTGTTTATGAGATTATACATGAACTTCGCAATGTCGGTCCAACAATTAGTAGCCTATCTACAGTGCTTAGGACTGCAGGGTCCACCTGCTGGCCAAATGCAGGCAGAACATATCATAAATTAATATTAGTCACTTCATTTTACAAAACTAGGATTGAGTTTTAAAATTTGCGTGGGATCTGTACAAGTTCAAACAGCACTGTTGTGACAATCATTAATAATTCTTAATATCATAAATTAATTTAATCAACACCCATTGAAATCGAAATGAGTAATTATTAGATTTACTGTATATGATTAAATACGTAAACGTAGATCTCACGCACCACTAACAATTTTATTTGTTTATTTATTTATTTAAATAAAATTATAAAACTTAAACAAATTACAATGTGATTACTGAGATTGAGAAAAACTCAATCTCAGTAATCTCAGTAAACCACAATCACCACGTGTCACCTGTAGATTTAGATGATTAATAAACACATACACGCACATTTCAGTTCATTTTATCTATCAGTGTTTTAAATAAGTTGACGAATCGTTTGAAGCAATGGTCGTGCTAATGTCCGCGCTGCGGACTCCTCCCCGTTTGGAGCGACCATGCAGCTCCGCACACAACATCATTCAGAGCTGCTCCTCTCAGGCCGCTGGGGGAGCACACTACACGGGACGGCGAAAAAAGTCAAAGGGTTAACTTGGATACACACGCGGCGGTGTTTTGATTAAAAAACCCATCCAACTGCACACTGAACCGACTTTGTTATTCACGGGAAGAATTTCCCTTGATATGGGATTTGTTTCGAAAAGTACACACGAGCGTAGTTGAAGGATATAACTCCAGTATGCGGCAGTTTTGAAACAAAGGGGTCTGGAGCGCCGTTGTCTCAGTGGTAAGACGCGCTGTTGTTTTAATAAAGAGCGTTATATTGTTTCCTATAATGTTTCATTTTCAGCTTCTATTTTAGTTTGGATAGTCATAGTTTGGATTAACGCGTTTAAACCGAAACGCTTCGCTTTAATCCTTCACAACTCTCATGTGTGCATGATATCGCTGTAATAAGGGTCTCGTGGCGTGCCGCAGGGCTAGATGTGCGGCGCTGGTCACTTTAATTTCGGTCCGATTTATTTATTTCTGTTTTTTAGAAAGCGATCTAAGATAGGGAAAGTTTATCGCTAGACAACTGTTAGAGTTCAGCGTGAGATGCTTGAACTTTGCTGGACGACTTTAAGCTCGGTAAATTTAGAAAAGCGTTTCCCACAAGCGCCCACTTATCTTATGTCTTTAGTTCCCCTGAAATACTTTTTTTTTTTCTCTCAAACAAACCTGAAATAGAAGTAGTGTGGTAGAAGTACCTAACTGAACAGGAATTGTTGCTATCCCTTTCTCACTCTTGTTTGTGTTTAAGGATTGGGGCCCTTTCTGGATGGGAAAGATGGAATCGGAGGGGCAGTGGTGGAAAAGCCAGCTTGCAGCGGACATCCATCAGGCTTTGCGAATTAAGGTGAGTTGTAATAAACAGCTTTGCATTCAACATAGGATATCACAGTGCAGTTTTAATCCAAACGTCCAGGTCTCCAATGGCTCGATTGCCACACGTTGAACTAGATTCAGCTTGACTTGTCCAAGCTTTGATGGGGAAGTGCGAAATGTCACACAGCCCTCAGAAAACATCCTCTGATTGTGGCCTTATGAAGGTTCCTGGCCAAAGCATCGTCTAGTATTGTCTGCATTCATATTGTAAACACAATTCCCTAATAATCATTTTGAATATCATTTACAACCAAGAACCAGGACCCTGTGCAAAGCCATTAAGGTACTCTATGGTACAGCCTACTTTTAGTTTAGCTTTATTTTACGTATTCTCCTAATTTATTCATTTTACTTTAAAAGTGCTGTGATTATATAGTAATATCACAGAATCACAGAAAGTCTTGGGCCCTGTCATTTTAGCCACAGTTTTAATCCTTTAGCAAATTACGAAAAAGTAGACCAGAGCTGTTATGTCGTTATTGGTAAATCTGTTTCTTGAAACGGGATACACTTGTGTTGGAGCACTAGGAAGTCTATTGCTATACCATGTGAACTTTTGTTTCCTCACTGCTGAGTGAATTGCACCCATCAGACAGTGAGGTTTAAGTGCATTTATTTAGTGCACTCTTGTCTTTTTATTGTCCATCCTGTTTATTGCAGGGTGTTCTCACATCCGGTTTGGAATGTGAAGTGTTCTGTTTGTGTGTGTGTGTTTGTACTTGAGTTTGTCTGTTAGCTTTAGATTACCAGACTAAACAATCCTGCTGGGTTTATTCAGCACATGTCAAGGAGAGGCAAAATGATGCATGTGACTGAATGTGGCTTACATGAACCTTTTTTTGGCACATTATTCTCTTCCCCACCTTGGTTATTCAGAGTTGTATGTGAAATCTAGAGATATGTAGGATTAATGCAATGCAGATGCAAAGTGGTTCAGCTGTTTGGGGAAATATGTGGAGATCGGAGGTTTGGTGTTGGTGGATTTTATTTAGACAGAGCAATCTCTCTCTCTGTTCACCAACATGCAATCTTCAGTTAATGTTGTGAAGAAATGTTTAGCTGGTGTAAATCTTTGCACAGATAGGCTATAGTTTAATTCATGTTTTGTGTGAGAGGTTGGCCGACTTCTCCTACTACGTCAATACTTAGTCTTTGCGATTAACTGAAATCTTTGAGGAGGTTAATTAGCAGCTTTGCTCTTACGATGCTAAATTATGCTAGAATATTTCTTCTGTAATTTTATGTTCCATCACTTTAAATATATATATATATATATATATATATATGTGTGTGTGTGTGTGTTAAAGCATTATTTAGTTGGTCTTAAGCAAGCTAAATGACAATATTCACGCAAGTCTATTTCCTCTTTTTTGTGTGATGTTCAAGTGCCAATTCCTATTTTATCTGTGTGAAACCCACAAAAATGTAAAGCCACAAAGCGGTGCTGAGCTAGTTTTATTTCCTCTGGCTTTACCTTGTTATATTATTTATAAATGCTTTGAAAAAGCTTGTTCTTTTGAAAACTGTTTGCATCAAGATATGCAGTTGAGAAACTGATCAGCCATTCAAATACAGCAGCAGCTGTAGGGCTGTCTAAATTGCGGGCAGGCCCCACAAAAGGGCTCCTTGAGAGGGTCAAATCCCAGCCCCTCACCCCACAGGGGACAGATGGCTGTGAGACATGATGGCTAGGCCTGTAAAGGAAGCAGCGCTCTCCTCAACAGCCACTATAAAGCAGCACACTCTGCCTGTAGGACTCATGTCTGGAAAGAGTTTGACAATTTAGCTGCTTATTAAGTGTGACTGGAGCTTTTCAGGGTATGTTTGAGTTGTAATTTCCGCGCAGTTGGTATTGGATTTTGAGAATGGCTCTGGTTTAGTTGATTACAGAGCGTGCTGACAAAAGGCAATTATTTTAATGGGCCTCATTCATGAAAATTTTTTAATCTTTTATAATTTGCTTTGAATATGCATTGTCCCTTTGAATGCATAATGCAACATTTAAAAATGGTTTTGCATAATCATGGTTCATACATTTATACTTTTATTTTTAATTGAACATATTTTCTAATCCTTTAGGCTAACTAATTTATTTTATTTACTTTACTACTATCTTTAACATATTATATACTATTTTATATTATATACAGAATTTATATGGTAATATCACAGATTTTTTTTAATAACTCACAAAAACTACTGTTCAAAAGTTTTAGTTTTATGTTTAAGAAGTCTCTTATTCTCATCAAGGTTGCATTTGGTCAAAAATATTAAACAAAGCAATATTGTGATGAAGTATTTTAATTAAATATAATATAATATAATTTAAAATACAAATAATTTATATTTCTCTATATGAATATATTTTAAAATAGAATTTATTTCTGTGATGGCAAATTTGAAATTTCAGCAGCTATCCCATATCCTTCAGTGTCATATGATTCTTCAGAAATCATTCTAATATGCAGCTGGGATGCTCAAGAAGTTTCTTATTATTATCAATGTTAAAAACAGTTGTGTTTCTAATATTTTTGTGTAAACTGTGATACATTTCGGGATTATTTGTTCAATAGAAAGTTCAGAAATCTTTAGTAGCATTATAAATATCTTTGCTGTCACTTTTGATAGATTTAAAGGGGTCATATGATGCAATTTAAATTTTTCCTTTCTCTACCTCATTTATAATGGATTTTAATGTTTTTGTCTCGTCGCTCCAGCCGGGACACGTCATCACAATATGGTAAGGGGCGTAACATTTCCGTCACACGCTTGAGGTATTCGGCCAATCACAACGCACTGGATAGCTGGCCGATCACAGCACACCTCGCTTTTTCAGACTGATGAGCTTTGTAAAAATCGACGCGTTTCAGAAAGGTGGGGCATAGAGGAGAAACAATAATGTACAGTATGTGGAAAATAATGTGTTTTTTTTAACCTTAAACCACATAAACACATTTCATTACACCAAATACACAAAATAATGTTCTTTTTAGCAACATCATATGACTCCTTTAATGCATTCTTACTGAATTCCGTGATACTTTTTGTAACTCACCATGGTCCAAATATTATATACATACTAGGGCTGTCAAAAAAAAAATTCGAATTTCGAATATTCGTTGAATTTAAAATAAAAATCCACATTCGAATGCAAAAATGTTGCATTCAAATTTTAGTTGTGCGTTGAGGCAGCCTTATCAGCGACGCACAAGATGCGATGACGATGTAAGTGTCGTTGCATTATAATGTTTTTGTTTTGCCACTAGATGCGTCTTGCACAAAAGAGCCGCCTGTTTAGAAAGCCGTGTAAGATTCATGCAAGTTTAACTTTGAAAAAAACATATATGGAGACTTTATGGCGGGGCTTTCCCTATCCCACTGCATCTCATGCTTTTAAATGAAAAATGTACTCTGTGTGATTGGCTTTCCGCCCTTTGTATTAAACTATGCATACATGCATGATGCTGTTTTGTTTATAGTTGTTTAAGCAACTTAATTATAATTGGTTTATAAACATTATTTTAAACATTATGCACTTTTTTTCGCAGATAGTCATGTTATCTTATGCTTTGAATGATGCGCCCTCTTGTGGCCTCAGGAGAGAAGCCAAAAGCTTTTCTTCACCCTAACTGAAATTATGCATTTTAAATTTGAATATAATTCGAATTTTGATAATATTTAAGTACAAAATTCGAATTGAGTTTTTCAGCCATTTTGACAGCCCTAATACATACACTGTTACATAAAAACCATACCATCCTTTTCTCCTTAGGAGCTGAAGTTGCCAACGTACCAGGCCCAATCTCCACAGATCGGGATGCGGCGGTACTTTGCCGACCTGCTCGCTGTTCTCAGTAACCGATACCAGCTTTGCCCTACGGCACGTCATCTGGCCGTCTACCTGCTCGACCTCTTTATGGACCACTATGATGTAGCGGTGCGGCAGCTGTACGTCATCGCCCTCTCCTGTCTCCTCCTGGCCAGTAAGTCACATATGAATTTGATTGCACTTTCATTTGCTTACCTGTATCTGATCAGGGAGTACACTCGTTGCAGGTACCTGAAGTAAATTTGAACTGCAGAAACTTCATGTTTAGGTGCTCCTATTGAACCGAGCGAGCGCGTCTGATTCTCTGCACTATAGCTGGCTGCTGTATTGTGCTGTGTGACAGCTGTGTGCGTAAGAGGCCACTGCCTCCGCTGGCCTCGAGACCCCTGAGTCAGTCTCCAAGGCAACCTCTCCAACGCACAAATCAGAAAGAGCTCCAGCAAGTTACAGCTGCTTTGGCATGTTGCAAGTCTAACCGACAGTTTCAGGTGGATTGCAAAAGCTTTATGCGGCAGACGGAGAGAGGCATTCTTGCAGTGATGCAGAAGTGTCGCCTGATGTCTCCAGAAGATTTCTAGTGCAGGAAACAAGGAAGTCTGACTCATAATATATCTGTGCTGTGTAATGTGGCAGGGCATGTTATCAGTGGTGGCACGTCTGCTTGCACACAAACAAAGCCAGAGAGATAAGATAGAGGGGGTGACTTGTGTCGCCATGTGTTGGTGTTTTTCACAGATTAAAATCTGAAACCCAGATTAAGGCGGCCAAAATGACAATCAATGCAGAGTGCTTTCTGACCTGAATAATTTAAAGGTTGTCTTTAAATAGTGAATCTCTCGCTTTATTCTGACCCTCATTACAGCCACCTCTTGATTGGGGGAGGGTTGTTTTGCATTGGCCGGCAATTGGCAGTGTTCAGGCATTAATTAATTGCTTTCGACTGAATGCATAATGGCTTTGCTCATGTTTCTTGTTAAGATATCCTTCCCTTTCCCTAAGTCATTGATTCAGGCATCTGCGGCCATTGTTGGGTTTCTCTAAGAGTCGCCCGCAGTCAATGTGTGTGGGGCATCCAGCCCTGCGCTTAAAGCTGAGAGCATAGCAAAGTTTCCATTCAGACCAAGATTTATTATGACTAATGGTAGAGAGGCGCTGTCTTTGCATAAAACAAAAGGGTTTGTGATTTCATTTAACCCTTTTATTTAACCCTTGTGTTGTGTTCCGGTCACTTTTCTGAAAATGCTAGTTAATGTTAATTTATTAATACTAATTGGACTAAAACTTACTGACTTTATGTATGTGTGTGCATTTTTGTACCATTTTTCCTCACCTTGATACAATTCAAATATGTCCAGCCTTTTCGGTATGCTGTAATGTCAAATATTGGTTTAAATTTTTTGTCAAATTGTTTTCTTTCAATTATTACATGTTTTGTATTTCTTTTTGGAACTGATTGATCAAAGGCCTCACTGATCTGTGCTTATGCACCAATTTTTTGAGTGAGAATTTCCAAAATTAAAAATGATTCACAAATAATGCCTTTTTTAACTCAAAACCGGAGGTGCGTAAGCTTATATGATGAGTTGGGGCCTATGATCAGTCAGTTTCAAAAATAAATAAATAACCATTGCTAAACAAAAGAAACAAGTTTTAAAAAAAGAATCTGAGTTTTGATGAAAATATAGCATGCTGAGAGATTTACATTTTGACTTGGAACACCAAATTAGATAAAGGATTTTCAGCTCCGCACAAGGGTTAATATTGTTAGTGTGCCTGTCATTGTTAACTAAAACTATTAAAAATTGTTTTTGGTAATTGAAATGAAGCTCAAATAAAAAATAAGTATTAGATGAGAAGCTTAAAAATGAGAAATGCTGGCTTACTGAAATTACTAGAACTAAAATCTAAATTAATATATATTAAAGCCTAATAGATATATTAAAAACAAATAAAAATGACAAAAACACAACAAAATGACTAAAAATTCAAATGAAAACTTAAAATATAGCAATAAAAGCTAATTGAAGATAAATAAATACTCTAATAGTATATAAATAATACTGAAATAACACTGCTGCCCAACTAAAGCTCATTTACTTTGGTTTAAGCTTCTTTTTTTTTAAGCTTGTGTAATTTGAAGCCAGACCGTAACCCCGTATTAACACAGGATGATCATCTTGAAGGCTGAGTGGGCAGATATTGCGCCGTGCCAAGATTTCAGCTGAGGTCAACGTTAAAAACTAGCTGAGTGAAAGCATTGCTGTCCTGAAACAGAGGAAGTGAATCAAGACTTTCAGATCTAATTTTTAGGTGATAACATTCAGGGATGAATGATGGCTAAATGCAGTTTGAGGATACGCATGGACGAACACTTGAGCTTGATGTTATCAGTGCAATTAGCCCCCCACACCCACCCGCTCTCATTCTTTTAGCTGAGAACTTTGGAGGAGGAGAGGGTGAGATATCAGGCTCATTTCCTCTCCTGAGCTGAGGCGATGGGGGTTTGTTATGCTAACGCACAGCGTATGTCGTGAAACCCATTTTTATTAATCAAACCTGATAGTATGTATATCTATAAAATGGTCATCTTTTCTATTATTAGCAGTGTGTTTTCTGCATTTTGAAGGAATAATGAAAACAAGATGAGGTGAAACCCCAACCCTCTGGTACTTTTCCATTTTCAGCAAGAAAGCCCTGTTGAAATGGTATATCATCCTGTAGCTAATGGAGCTGCAGCTCTCCTTTTTGATGAAACGGTGTAGAGTAGCATGTCAAATGCAGGCTGGCCCTTTCCTCAGAAGGATGAGGGAGGGGGAGATGAGGGCCCTGGAGGGGCATGTTTGAACTGAAACACTCAGCAGGGTTCCTGATATTCAGATTAGTGTGACAGATGCCCCCCTGAGGTTTGATGCTAATGAAAAGAATTTGTACACCCCAGATAATTAAGAAAATACACTGTGCAGTGACTTTTTGTGTCAGCTGGGCATTTTTGACCGTGAAGGTCCACCAGTGTTTCCTTGTAACTAATTGTATTTTAGTTTGAATCGAATGTGATGATGTGAAAGACAATAAATAGGCAACACGTTTCTGTTTATCTTTGTTGGCTGAACACAAGAACAAAGGATTCACAGGTTTTGGGTTTGCAGTTCGACAGGATTGACATATAATTGCAATTTAATAGTAGTGTACATGTAGTATAATTATATAAAATATATACAGTACAAAATATTGTATAATTATATAATGACATATCATGATAATGTAATCATATATAAATAATGTGTCGTAAACTTCGTTTGTTTCTCTCTTTAACTTTGCACAAATATTTTCTTTAATATATGAAGGTTATATTCAAACTTGGAAACCATGAATTAATTTGTTTTTGCTACTTTTCAAAAGCCTTTTATGTGTATATTTTATTTTTACTTTTTCACCACACATTTATATTTAGCCTACTTTGTTCAAGATTGATATACATTTGGTCAAATGCATATTTAAATAAAAAGGGAAATAATTATGGACAAGATTACCATTCAAGATCTAGTTTTGTCAAATTGTGCAAAAAGAAAATATTTGTGTAACTGGGAAACTAAACTGGAATTCATAAAATGCAGCCCTGAATGCATTTCATATGTAAAATAATATCATTATGGGTGTTTCAGAAAAAATGATCAGAATTGTGCTGTGATCCATGTACATACACTGTCGTTCAAAAGTTTGGGATCAGTAAGATTTTTAATGTGTTTTTAAAGAAGTTTCTTTTGCTCATTAAGACTGTATCTATTTAATCAAAAATACAAAAAACTGTAATTTTGTTAAATATTATTCCGATTTAAAATAACATTTTTCTATTTTAATATACTTTAAAATGTAATTTATTCCTGTGATGCAAAGCTGGATTTTCAGCATCATTACTCCAGTCTTCAGTGTCACGTGACCTTTCAGAAATCATTCTAATATGCTGATTTATAATCAGTGTTGGAAACTGTTTTTCCAAAATATTTTTCAGGATTCTTTGATAAATAAAAAGTTAAAAAGAATAGTGTTTATTCAAAATAGAAATTTTGTGCTACAATATACAGTACTATTCAAAAGTTTGGGGTCGTAATTTTTCTTTCTTTTTTAAATTCTGTTCTTTTTAACACTTTATTCACCAAAGAAAAAAGATATATAAAATATAAACATTAAGCAGCACAACAGTTTCAAAATTGATAATAAATCAGCATATTAGAATGATTTCTGAAGGATCATGTGACACTGAAGACTGGAGTAATGATGCTGAAAATCCAGCTTTGCATCACAGGAATAAATTACATTTTAAAGTATATTAAAATAGAAGTATAAATAGAAGGAGTAAAGACTAGTCCCTGATTTACTAATAAATGGAGAGCAAAGAGAAAAAATATATATACATACATTGTTAAAAAAGTGTTTATGTACTTAGGTGCAAGTTATTTCTCCCCCTTTTTTTTCTTTCGTCCTCAGAATTGTTCTAACTATGGCTGCATCTTATGTATATATTTGTATTTACTTATTTATTCTATTGCTTTTTTAAATGTAATTGGTCTCTGTTAACAGATTGAAACTATTCTATTGGCTATTTTTGTATCTCTGATTGAATAGCATCAATAAAAAGAGTTAAACTAGTATATTAAAATAGGAAACCAATATTAGAAATTGCAATAATATTTCACAATATTACAGTTTTGTTTTTCTGTATTTTTGATCAAATAAATACAGCCTTGATGAGCATAAGAGACTCCATTAAAAATCTTACTAATCCCACATTTTTTGAATGGCCATGTACGCTGTTGAGAACCTAGAGCCAGTGTGAAAACTCTGATTTTAAAAGAGTATCTTGTAAAAGTCCACAGAAGCAAAAGTGCTCATAGCTGAAGAAACCTTAGGTTAATCTCAGAGGTTACTTCAAGTAAATATTTTAAGTTGTAGAGGTTTGTCTGGGTGAAAAAATGACTTGGTAAATCTGAGAGAGCGCTTATTGAATTGCCATCTGACTCTTGTAATGACTGGGTGTTTATGTCAGCTTGTAGTAGTTAAGATGCTCATTTACGACAGAAGTTTTGTTGTAATAGTGTATTAAAAAATGTGCATGTCCATAGAATATATGTGTGAGTATATGAAACTCAGTGTCTTGATGTAGAGGCCTGTTACTGCTTGCGTTTCATTTAAGACGAAGTCTCTGTGAATGAAGGTGTGACCTTGGATCCTCTTTGCTGTTTGGACTGTTTCTCCACGCCAGCCAGCGATCTGAGGGGGACTGTGCGCGCTCAAGCATGAGCCATAGAAGTCAGAGGTCGTGGGGCCCTTATTGTTGGAGCATTAGACTGCGGGGGAAGCAATACTACAGAGCCTTGGACTTTGTGGAAAAGATATTAACACCTAGCACCTAGAGTCAGGAAGGGAAACGAAGAGAACAAAGGAATTCTGCAGAGAAGGGCTGATTCACCATGAGGCAGCTGTGCTCTCTCATTACAGGAATTCACAAAATGCCTCACCTTAATGATGTCAATGTAGGGGTGTGCGATATATATCGTCTGCGATAATATCGTAATTGTTGTTTTAACGATGTGCGATTTGACATTATCGAGTATTTTGCAAAAACCATTCAAAACATCCCTATAGAGCGCACGCATACATTACGTGAAGTCTAGACTAGTGCGTGTGCGCATTTAGAGTGTTTTCTTTCACTGCATGATTCAGTCTATTAAAATGCATTTAGAATGATCACAAATTCAAGACATGGCAGAAAATTTATATATTTATACCACTTCATATATTCATATATAATTAAATTTCACACGAAGAGTGCTGTTTTTCTCCAAAAATTACCATGATTACAAATGTGACATTGAATTCAATAAACAATAAGTTAATTAAGAGACTTACGTTTTAGACACCATATTGCTTGTTTTTGCTCTATTTCGCCAACAAAAATCATTCCGAATACAGCCTCAGCGCTGTTTTGTGTCTCTGAGCAACATGACGGTGTTTCGTTCTTGAATGAATCAACCGTTTAAATGATTCGGTTCAGTCGCAATGACTCACTTATTAACAGTGATTTGCTGCCACCTGCTGGCGGTTTTAATTTCACATTTCGGCTTTTTCTTTTTTTTTCTTCTTTTTTTCATGTTTTAAATCATTTCAAATATCAGTATTCAACGTTTTATGTTTAATATATCAAAGCATTATTTATGCATTTGTAATTGCAGGTTAAATGCATTCATGTCTTGCATTAAACAAAATACATGTGTGTAAATACATCTAAATGCCACTTCAGATGCAGCTTCTGTGTTGATTTAATTTGCTTGGTAACAGCCCAAATGTCTTATTCTAATTCCCTGATTAAATGTAAGAATTTGACTCAAAAGATAATGGACACTTTTAGAAAAAATGGCTTTATAAAGGTAAAAATGCCCATAAAATGTAAAAATCTGTTTAAACTTATTGGAAAAGATTAATTTCTATCAGTATGAACTGACCACCACACAGAATATGAAGAATATTAAAAACATTATGAATCAGCTGTCTTCGGCAGTCCTTAAGTTATCAGCACAATAACACACTCAGCAAAATATCGTCTAATTATCGTCATCGATAAAATCCCAGAAAATATCGAGATATTATTTTTTGTCAATATCGCACACCCCTATGTCAATGCAAATCCTTTTACAGAAACCCAAGTATGTGAAAAAGCACAGAGATGCATTGTTCTTAGATCTTAGTGATATCTGATCATAGGAGCTTAATAAAAAGGTATAAAATGTCCTTGCTTTCATCCGTCATGATGAATCTGCATCGTGATATCTCTGATGTGATGTCTGGAATACCAGCAGGATAATCCATGCATTCATATTTTAACATTGTAATTGAAATCAAACAGATGAAATGCTTAAGCTCAAATACTTGTTTGTCTTTGCTCAGGTAAGTTCGAGGAGAAGGAGGACCGTGTGCCCAAACTGGAGCAGCTGAACACTCTGGGCTTCATGTGCAGTCTGAACCTCACCCTCAACAAGCGTGACCTCATCAAGATGGAGCTGCTGCTGCTGGAGACGTTCGGCTGGAACCTGTGCATGCCCACACCTGCCCACTTCATCGACTACTACCTCCATCCTGCTGTCCAGGAGGGGGATCTGCACAACGGCTGGCCCCTCTCCTCCCTGTCCAAGACCAAAGCCTTCATGGACAAATACACGCACTACTTCCTTGAGGTTTCGTTGCAAGGTGAAAAAGTCACTGTTTGTTTTTTGTTATCATAGAAACTATGCCTAGCTTGCGCATGTCAATCATTTTAATGTCAATATTAGTTGTTCTTTTTGCTTTTGTGCAACAGATAAATAGCAATTTATATGTTTTAGACACTTTATGTTTAGATCATTTCTATTTTGCGGGAGTCCCGCGAATCATTTTATTCTCCCGCATCCCGCACACACACAAGTCTCTTCCCGCCCGCACCCGCACTCCAACATTTGTCCTTGTCCCGCGCGTTCCAGAAATCAACAGCTGAGTCTGTGATTGGCTACATTGCACAACCCTTTAAACACGTGTTATAAATAGAAACTATGCCTAGCTTGCGCATGTCAATCATTTTAATGTCAATATTAGTTGTTCTTTTTGCTTTTGTGCAACAGATAAATAGCAATTTATATGTTTTAGACACTTTATGTTTAGATCATTTCTATTTTGTGGGAGTCCCGCGAATCATTTTATTCTCCCGCATCCCTCACACACACAAGTCTCTTCCCGCCCGCACTCGCCAATCAAGAGTTGTCCCGCGCCGCACCCTGTTGCATTGGGTCCCGCGGTACTCCCGTGGGAGTGCAGGTCTCTACTTTACCTGTTTAAAAAGCTGTTGTTCAGCATTAGCTTATTAGGTTTACATTGAAATTTTATAAATTAAATGCTTATATTTTTGGTAATCTGTCTCTAAATGTTTGTATTTCAGGGGATATGTCGCCTTATTAAGGGTATAAATCAAGATATAAAACATACATATAGACTGTGTGACTTTGTTGCTTGTGTTTTAGAAAATCAAATCTTTTTGTAATCTTGACAAAACACATCGTTGGAAAGGTCTGACAGTCAAGATTCCATATTTGGTGACTGTTTTGTAATAGATGTGATATTGTGACAGAAAATGATTGATTTGTGACAGAAAACTGCATTAGAAAAATTCAATAGAGTTTGGGTGTAACCCAGTGGTTATTTTTGGTATAGTGCCCAAAGAAAATCTCACAGGAACCACAATTTTTGTGATATCAACTTCAAATTTGGAACATAAATCGGTTAGACATATGGCTTTGATTTTATAGCAATTTTAGAGTGCAACATATTTTATAAAATATTTATTTTATATAAAATAAAAACAATTAGTATACTACATTATCTTTACTGTAAACTTAAACTTTTATAACTTTTTTATAATTTCTTTTTTTTTTTTTATGCTTGCACTTCAGCAATAATCTGCTATGTGTCTTCTTTAAAAAGAGACCAACGTTAGGTCTGTACTCCAAAACATTCAGGAATCACAACCATGCTGTAACAAGTATAAGAGTCAAGTTTTGAAAAAAATCATGAAATTGTATTATTTGAGTCCCAGTAAGATGGAAAATAGCATTAAATTAATTTTCTGATGTCTCTTTATGGGTTTGCCCTTTTTAGGGTTAAAATTAAGTAATAATGATGAAACAGAAAATGTAATTTGAGAAGATCATCAGTTAAGATTGTAAATTTGATTAAAATGTTGATTATATAACAGACCTCTAGTATACACTACAGATAAAAAGATTTTGTTACACCATTAAAATCCATTAAAAATTCCATAAAATTTATGGTAAAAAACCGGCAGCTGTGGTTGCCGGAGTTTTACGGGTTTAACTGTAATTTCATTAACTGATATAATGTTAATATACCAACCTACTGAAGTACTGAAATCTGTTTTGTACATTTGTAATACACTGATAACCACCAAATGCAGGTGGTGATGAGAAAGTCACATGATGAACCAAAGCCCATCACAAGCAGCTTTTAAATAATAACGTATATAGAAGGTGCACAGTGTAATTCACACAAACACCTAAACACCATCATGGTAACGCACACGAAACTGAAATAATGCAATAAACATTCATTTAACAACATTAGGTGTAACATACAATCCTAATATACAAAACTGATAAGAAAAAACTCAGAAGAAACAGTTATTTCAACAAAAAAACATCAAATTTGAAATGTAACGCAGGGAATTCTGGGAATGTCAAAGTTTTTTTCACTTCCAAAAACGGTATACTGCTGTAAAATTACATGTAATGTCCAATACAGTTTTTCACCTTATATAGTAGGGAAATTTACTGTTAAGCATTTAACAGGTTTTTGCTGTAGCATTTTTACAGTCATTTACCGTTAAATTCACTGTCGTTTTTTACAGTGTAGGTAGGATTTTTTTCAAATAATGTAGAAATACAAAGACTGTTCACTCCTATACTTATGAATGGGAGACATTCAGCAGCTGTTAGAAGCTCCGGTTCCCATAAAAACCTAAAGCTGGACCAGCCGATGCGCATGCGCAGTCATAATCGCGTTGGCTGGTCTAGCCTGGAAAATACGCTTTTTAAACGCTATTTGAGCATAAGAAACAATATTCATGGGGCAGTTCATTTAAGATTTTGTTGCTGATTTGAAATATGTCATTTAATTGTGAGTTCAGCGAGCAGTTTTTGAGATTTCAGGATTCCCCCATTAATTTAGATAGGACTTGGTCTTGTTTGAGCTGCCCGGAGGCGTTGCACATATGAAAGTGAAAAAAGATGTGGTACTGTTTTTATAGAATTCAAAAATGGTTTCCAGATTTGATCAAATAATTCACCCCTCCCTCTCAAGGAATATGTGATCTTCTCTAATGGTACACAGTTGCAAACTTACGATAACCACAGTCCACTTGGCACATCAATGTCTGATTTCCATTTCAAGGCAATACATTTTTTAGCTATTAGCAACATTTTAGTATAAAATAACTCTTTTCTATTTTAATTTTTTTTTTATATATAAAGCTGAATTTTCAGCATCATTACTCCAGTCTTCAGTGTCACATGATCCTTCAGAAATCATTCTAATATACTGATTTGGTGCTCGAAATGTTCTGATTATTATCAATGTTGAAAACAGTTGTGCTGCTTAATTGTGAAAACAGTGATGTATTTATTACAGGATTCTTTGATGTATATGAAGTTCAAAGCACAGCATTTATTTGAATCTTTTATAAAAAATGTCTAATTTTTGATCAATTAGATTTAGCCTTGCTGAACAGAAATATTCTTTAAAAAAACAGAAGTGTTATTATAATAATGTACAATAATATAAAAAAGTCAATTTACATATACCCGTTACATTTACTAAATTATTCATATATAATATCAAAGTGTCAGTGCTTAATGTTTTTATTTATTTTTGACTAATGAACTTTTTAAATACTTGGTGGAAGAATTGCAGAAATAATGTACATTTATAATAATGTAATTTTAAATTATTCCGATTATTATTTTTAATATAAAGCATGTATAATATAAATGTTAATGTCGGTTTTATTTTATTTGTATGCTTAATAAATTCACTACTATTAATTGATATAATTTATATATCAGTTATTGATGCATATTGATGATGCAGCCGTTTAATAAACAAGCCTAACAGTCTCTTAACCGTGGTAAAATCACTGAGGATATAACATATCATGTTTGTGTGCGTCTTTGTTGTAGATCATGCCTTCCTGAGCTTCAGGCCTTCTCAGGTGGCAGCTGCCTGCATAGCTGCGTCCAGAATCTGCCTGCAGATCTCCCCCAGCTGGACCACTGTCCTCCACCTGCTCACGGGCTACTCCTGGGATCATCTGACGCAGTGCATCCAGCTCATGTTACTGTAAGAGCTAACCACAGTATATGCTCGCATTCATAGAACAACATAATGTGGCCTGAAGTAAACCACACATGCTGCACCTCACCCTGCTCTTTTGTTTCATTTTTCAGCGCTCACGACAATGACGTAAAAGAAGCCAACAAATCCAAATCGTCCCCTTCCGCCAGTCAGAGCCTCCAGCCGCAAGCTCACGTCCCCCACAGCCCCGCCACCCCTTCTCTGCAAAGGCAGCCCGCCTCCAGCTCCCAGCAGCTGCTCCTCCAGGCCAGCAGTTACCCGCAGCTCTCCCAGCACTCGCCGGCGTTATCCCAGCTGCACATGCTGGCCGACTGCCAGGCCCTGGGACCGGTGGGCTTGCCGCCCCCGAGGGGCTTCGCCTCGGACGCCGACCAAGAATTTCCAAACGGAAAACCAACAGTCGAGTGGATCCAACTGAGGTCATAGTATTAACTTGAGAACTCTCGTTTTTTAGCGTTTGGGTTTTTATGAACTGAGGATGTCTATTTTTTAAGATTATTTAGCCAAGTGGGGACCTTCTTCCAGTGCCACAAGCTTATGACTTGGGGATCCTTTTTTAAGCACACAGCCTTAAGAAGAGAAATCAAGTTGATCCGCATTCCATCCCACCAGCATTTTCAAACAAGTCCTTGAACTTTCACACTGGATTTGCTGTGCGGTCCTTTAATGCTGCTGCCTTTTTATATGAACCAATGGCTTTACGACCACGAATCCTGTCTCCCTTCTGGTCTTGTTTACAGTGACATGCCACATATCAGGGATGTACAGATCTCTTTAATACGAACACACAACATACCATTGAACCAGCTGATGTTTGTATGAAGTAGCTTCTTTTGTTCTCGTCTGTGTTTCTTGCCGAAGTCTTTAGAGAAGGTTGACGTTACGCTGAGGTTCCAGTTCCCTCAGGCAGATGGAGGGAGAAGCCCCAGGGTACGGAGGCATCTGTGCTCCCCTCTTTTCCATGCTGGAGGAAACCATGCTTTACTAGTTCCTCCTCCTCCCCCCAGGGAAAAATAGCCATGATCGCCCTGCGGTTCTGCCGTGTGCTATGAAGATGACTTCATTGTGCTGTACCTCTTCCCATCCGACACTGTGGCTCGTAAAGATTACCTCACTGTTACACTGTCATTCACATTTACCTCCAAGGTCATGCTAATAAACTAGTTTAACCTAGTTAGAAAAGATGGTTCTGCTGTTACAGCTGTAGCGTCATACCTTTAGGTCAACATTTTAGTCTCGTTTCTGTTAAGCAGACGGTCCAAAATATTTTATTATTATTATTATTATTATTATTGTAAACTAAAGATAAGATTAACCAAACATGTTACGTTTCTTTCCTTTTGTTATTGTCCTTTTTTGTTGTTCAGAGGGTTCTTAGACTACACAATGAATTCCTTTATGTTGACTGGCCTTGAGACCAAAGTGTCTGCTTTACGTCCTGCTGAATGAGAAGCTTTTTCAACCACTTTACTGGACTTTGGATCAAAATCTTTCTCCTATAGTCCTGAACTTTGAACTACCTCAGTATATTGCCATTTACGTGCTGATTCTGCAGGGCTCGACTTTTCGTTTTATGTTTCTTCTCGATCGGTCAGAACATTCAAGTGCTTTTTCACCCAGAACGCAGGTTTTGTTGTAGTTGTTGAAGTCCCGTGTTTTGTATAGGTAGAGAACTGTGTTCACTGTAACAGACACGCACTGTTTGATATTTCAAGTCATTCTCTTGTTGAAGCCTCTGTGTGTGCAATATGTAATCATTAGTTTACTTTTTAGACTGTATATTTTTTTTGTACCACTACTTTTTTACAATGTAGAATTAGTTTTTCGTTGGTTTGGTTTGTTTTAACACGCTATTACTGCTTACATGCAGTGATTTATTTTTCCACCAAGAAAATGTTGCACATTGCAACCAATGTCTCCTGAATCTCTAGACATTTAGTAGACTAGAGAACATTGATTCTGCTCATTCAATGATCTTATGGGTTTATTTAAAAGCCTGTATTTGGGTAGGGAAGGGGATAGCAGGTGTAAATTGGATAAAACCCCCGAAAATAAAATGGAAAAAGCACAAAAGCTTGGTAAATGTTTCGTTCATGTGTGAATCATACATTTTGAATAGACGCTGGATTTGCATGGCTCGGGGCGAGTTGTTTCATATGAATGTGTGGACTCATTGCGCATGAAAAGGTCTTTGGGGGGGGGTCGTGTTTGGCTCCACCCCAAATACCACTGCCCTCCTCCTTCCTCCCTGCATGTAACGCGCTGGACTGAAGACAATGGGGGAGATTCCTGCCCCACATGGTGGTTCTTCCTGTCACTAAACACCACTAAACAAATAAAGCGCATCCAACTGAGCAGCACTGATCATTTCACAGATAAAAGCTCTTGGGCTCAAAGAACAGCCGACAATAGCTACAGTAGTTTTGGTGTGATGGACAAAATGTGATTTTTCTGTAAGTGGGTGTTTTAAGGAAACATCTGTGTCGTGCAAAAGACACAGAAGAAGAATTGGAAGGGACGGATCTTCTTTATGACTATGGGGGTTATAACTGTTTTTGGACTAACTGAGTTGGTAGTTGCATACAGTCCTTAAAGGGGTCATATGATGCGATTTTTCAAGTTTTCCTTTCTCTTTGGAGTGTTACAAGCTGATTGTGCATAGATAAGATCCCTGAAGTTGCAAAGACTAAAGTCTCAAAACCAAAGAGATATTCTTTATCAAAGTTAAGACTACCATGCCCCCCTAAAACGGCTCGTTCTAACACGCCCCCACATATCTACCTCACTATGTGGAAATATTAGCATAATGCCGCCCAAATGTGCACGCAAAGAAAGAAGGCGTGGTCTCAGTAACCGCAGTTAGTGTTGAAGCAGCAATGTGTTTTTTGAACATTAAAGCATGTCAACATATTCTGTTACACCAAATACACAAAATAATGATCTTTAAAAAAGCATCATATGACCCCTTTAAAACTAATAGAGACAGCCATGATTTAGCTGGGTTAACGTGTTAGACCTTAAAGGGATAGTCACCCAGAAATGAAAATGATCTTTTACTAGCTCCCATACCGGTCTTCTTTACAAAAGAAGATATTTTGAAGACTTAACATATTTTTAACGGTTTCAAGTTCCCTTTTACTTCCATTGTATGGAGTACAGTTGAAGTCAATGAACGAAAACTATTGGGTTTCAACGTTCTTCAAAATATTTCTGTCTTTGTTAAGAAGAACAATGCAAGTCTTACAGGTTTGTAATGACACAAGGGTGAGTAAATGACACAATTTTCATTTTTGGGTGAGCTATCCCTTTAATGACCTTGAAAAACCTTTCTTGTCTTGAGGAGCCTCATATAACTCTGTTCTTTTAGGAGGCCATATGATTTTATAGGCTGTAAAATTGGTTTAGGAGTATGACAGTTGCGAGAAGCCATAGTTTAAAAAAAATGTTTAAATATTAGCATTTCTTATACATCTATCATCTTGCTTCAGAAGACTTGATTGATTCATCAACCGTGGTCATTGGATTCCTGTCATGTCCGTTTTTTAGGCATCGACACTATTATATGGAGTCATTATTTTTCTTAAAATCTTCATTTGTGTTCATCTGGGAAAAAAAAGTCTGGTATGGTCTAAATACATTTTTTTTTCAGGTGGAGTATCCATTTAAAATGTAAAGAATGAATTCCCGATAGGGTGGAGCTTGCTGCGGATTAGGGCTTTTATCTGTTTAATTAAAGAGATTGGGTGGATAGCAGACAGAGAGAGGGGTCTCCCTTTGTGCTGGAGCCTGCTGGGGGGTACATGGGCAGGCCCTGGGAGGTGGGCCACATGTCTGAGTTGGTGTGATGATGAAGAGACAAGGAATCGGACGAGGGGGGGTTGAGAGCTGGCAAAGGGGCAGTTGGGTAATGGATCATTTTCACAACCTTTGTTTGCAAAGCAAGGCAGGGGGAGGGGCTGGCACCTTTTTACTTAATTACCAGCATTTCTTATACATCTATCATCTTGCTTCAGAAGACTTGATTGATTCATCAACCGCGGTCATTGGATTCCTGTCATGTCCGTTTTTTAGGCATCGACACTATTATATGGAGTCATTATTTTTCTTAAAATCTTCATTTGTGTTCATCTGGAAAAAAAAAGTCTGGTATGGCCTAAATAAATTTTTTTTTCAGGTGGAGTATCCATTTAAAATGTAAAGAATGAATTCCCGATAGGGTGGAGCTTGCTGCGGATTAGGGGTTTTATCTGTTTAATTAAAGAGATTGGGTGGATAGCAGACAGAGAGAGGGGTCTCCCTTTGTGCTGGAGCCTGGTGGGGGGTACATGGGCAGGCCCTGGGAGGTGGGCCACATGTCTGAGTTGGTGTGATGATGAAGAGACAAGGAATCGGACGAGGGGGGGTTGAGAGCTGGCAAAGGGGCAGTTGGGTAATGGATCAGTTTCACAACCTTTGTTTGCAAAGCAAGGCAGGGGGAGGGGCTGGCACCTTTTTACTTAATTACCAGGAAGGGGGTACCTCTAAACTGAAGCGTGCCCTCGACTGTTTTTTTTATTTTATTTTTTATTTTTTTCATGCTGAATCTTCAAATGGATATTTAGTTTGTTTATATATATACAGTGAGATTTAGGATTAACAGTGTTTTGGCCAGTTAATGATTAAATTTTGTAGTGAATAAATTTTATTTATAAATTATTTATATTATTTTATTATAATTCTTTTTAAATATTTTATTTATTTATTGAAGTTTAAATCTTAAAAATGCCTTAAAACCAAGCCCCATATTTAAAGTTTTAAAGTATTACCCTCAATATTTTTTTTATTTATTTCTTAAGAATATTGAACTCACCTTCAATCTATATTAGTGTTGCCCTCAGTATTTTATTGTATATTGCTTAAGAATATCTTAAACCAGGCCACACCTCCTTTATGTATTACTGTTGCCCTCAGTATTTTTATTTTATTTGTTAAAAATGTCTTAATCTTTAAAAACCTTTAAAAACTTGCCTTGAAAAACCAAGTACCCATCCACTCTCCATGTACTATTAGTATTGTCCTCAGTATTTTATGTTATTTACTTGTAATGTTCATTTATTTGTTGCTTAAGAATACCTTAATCTTAAAAAGGTACCTTGATAAATCAAGCCTCCACCTGCTTTCTTTGTTATCATGTGTTTTTTTGTTTTGTTTTTTAAAGAATGCTTTTGTCTTTGTTAGAGACTGGCCTGCAGGGTACATGCAGGATTGAAGTGTGGACTGCCCTCCAGTGGTGGTCAGGCAGCCAGCAATCATTCTAATTTGATTAGATATTTTATCTCTTTATAATGTGACATTACTGGATGCTGATTTCATCATTGAATCACTTTATGCATTAGCAGGATGAAGTAGAAAGATCAGGAGACATTAGTCAGTTGAGCTCGTACACT